CTGGGATATCCTCTGGGAATTCCAGGATGAGAACCTCTGGGGGTGGCCCAGCAATATGACAGGCCTGTAGACTGACTGATCTAGGCAGAGACAAGAGGCTCTAGTGGAAGAGTCCATGGCAGGCTGATGTTATTTCTTTAAAGATTTATTTACTTTGTTTTGCCTGCATGTATGTAAATGCACCATGTGTGTGCCTGGTGGCCTGAGGGCGTTGGATCTCCTGGAACTGGAGTCATGAGTTGGTGTGGGTGCCGGGAACCCATCCTGGGTCCTCTGCAAGAGCAGCCAATGCTCTTAACCCCGGAGCCAGCTCTTCAGCTCCCATAATCTGTCCATCCTTACAGCTTAGTGTGACAGGACAGAAGACTGCTGGGGGATCAGTGACCAAGCCAAAGATCAGATCTTCTCTGACAGGGCAGAGGCCAAGAACGAGACAGAAATCCAGTTCAGGAAGGAGCCACTGAATCCCGTCCCTTCCTTCAGGGACAGCCCCACTCTGAGTTCCGCACCTCTGCATCACCCTGTCAGACATAATTTCCCTGCAAGCATCTGGTCAGAGAACTTATTACAACAGCCCAGCGTTTACTGAATAGCTGCTGTGTCACCCAGGCCTCGGTCTCCTCTCCATCCCAGAAGGCATCTGCCTCAACAAGTTCGTGAAGTGAAGAGATGTACCTGGCACCCAGGGAGCCCTCCAAGTGCAAGTTCAAGTCTTAGAGCCAGGGTGCAGTGCACACCTGTAAGACCAGGCTCAGGAAGGACTGCCCGAGTCTGAGAGCAGTCTAAGCTACCAAGTGAGATCCTGCCTCAAAACCACCAAACAAAACAACAAACCCCCCCAAGCCCCCAGAAATCAAGCATCCTGAAGGCTTGCACACAGATGAGGACGAGCACCTACTTACTCGATGGGTGACACACAGGTGTCCCCAGCTCAGCAGGTGTGGATTACTCAGAGTAAGGTGCACAGAACAACTTCCTTAAAGGCAGACCTCATGGTGGTGCTCACCTTTAGTCCCACCGTGACTGGGGAGGCAGAGGCAGGTGATCTCTGAGTTTGAGGGAGTTCCAGGATAGCTAGGGCTACATAATGAGAGCCCTTCTGGGGGGCGGGGGATCACCTCACCTAACGCCGCTCTGGGTGTTGCTGTGGCCTTTCTCGATTAAGCTGAGACTTGTATTTATTCCACTGTCATGACCTTCTGTAGAGTGTCAACTCGGGACAAAGAACAAGAGAGGGAGGGAAAAAGTGGAGGTAGAGGAAGGCTGATGGGTTTGTCGTCCTTTTGATGTTAGGAACCAAACCAACCGAAGGCTGTGCTCGGAGAGTATGCTACATGAGCCGAACTTAAGTTAGCAGGAAGGGGCAAAAGCTCCATGAAAACTCACTTGGCAATTCTCTTCTAAAGATCTGGTTTTTTTCTGTTTATATGTATGTGTCTGTGTATGACACATGTGTGCAAGTGCTCATGGGCCAAAAGAGAGGTACTAGAGCCCGAGGCTGGAGTCAGAGGCAGTTGTGAGCTGCCGGACGGGGGTAGGGGTGGGGTGGGAGGGGTTGGGGTGCTGAGAACAGGGCTCTGGACCTCGGGAGGAATAGCAAGTGCTCTGAACCACTCTGCCAGCCCCTGTGTGGCAATTCTTGATACAGTGGTAGCTGGCAGCACATACCTGTGATCCCAACACTTGGGAGACGGAGGCAGGAGGATCAGGGGTGTGTCAAAGTCATCCTCAACTCCACAATGGGTTGAGAACCAACCTGGGTTACAGAGAGCCTGTCTTAAAATGACAACACAAAATAACACGAAAAGAAAAGAAGAATTCCCACTTGGACTGGCTCACCAAGCAGGCCCCACTGAAGGCAGGTCCATCAGGAAGCAGCTATCCCGAGGACAGGCCACGGGGGAGAAAAAGCACTTGGCTGTAAGGGACCCGAGACGGCTCACAGTGAGACCCATAGGAACTGGGGCTCCTCTCCCACCTCCAGCTGTCTGGGGACACCCTTGAGTGGAAGGAAAGACTACAATCGCTACCGCCCAGATGGTGACATCTCTAGAAGCTGGATGTGTGCATGAGGCCACGCCCCTGCACGCATATTTGCAGTGGCACCCTGCCAGGGCTTGTCACTCTGGCACTTGGTATCTGGTTAACTGGCAGGGTAGGGCAGGGTAGCACAGCATGTGGGCTGCTGGATGAGAGGAAGAACCTGGCAGCCAAGGCCACCGTGTGATATCCTGCAGTCCTGGAAACACAGGAGGGAAGGTGCCTGCCACTGCAGACATCTTGAGTGGTTGTAGTGTGAGCATCTCCACTCCTGAGACTTGTGCCAAGATCACAGCAGCAAACCATGTGGGAAGGTGCCAGCAGCAGTGCCCACAAAACCTGAGCTCAACCCTTACAGGAACTCCAAGGCTACACAGTGGTTTCCTGGCAACCAGGGCAGGGATTAATGAAAAGGCTCAGTCTAAAGGTGGACTCAGGCCTGAGCACACCTGAGGGGTGTAGGGGGGAGCAGAGGCTAAGTTTAACCAATTAAGGTCCATTTCCACTCTTAACACTCCACAGGCTCTTGATGCCTTCCAAGGCACAAGTGAGATCTCTTCAAGGCATTCATTCGTCAGCAAACACTGAATCCTGCTTCATACCAGACACGTGTTCATTCATCTCTCTCCATCTCATCACTAAGGCCTTTACATTTCTTCCTGACACCTAGTTATTGGGGGAAGGGGCACCTAGGGAGGTCAGAGGGCAACTTGTGGAAGCTGGTTCTTTCCTAGAAAAATTTGGGTCCTGGGGATCAGACTCAGGGCCCAAGGCTGGGCAAGGACCTTGACCTGCTGAACCACTACAGGCTGGCCCCACTACAGGGCCACTGCCTTGACAGTTCTTCCCCACCACTGGAGTCTCAGTTCAAATGTTGCCCCAGAAGCCTGCCCCGACCTCTCCAGACCCCCTCATCACAGCACACAATTTTCTTCCCAGAACTTCCTGCTTTTGGAGTCACTTTATTTATACCCTGAATGGCCTTCTGTCTAGTTGGAATGAAATTCAAGGATAGTGGTGTGTCTATCTTGTTTGCTGTGCACAACAGGTCCCAGTAGCCATCTGTGGACCAGAGGGAAGCTGGGGGATGCCTCACGGGACCTCCAAGCCTTCCCTATGATATGTAACGACACTAGATGCTCTTGCTTCTTTCTGTGGTGCCACGGATGGAAGCCAGGGCCTCCAACATGCGAGATCACACTCTACCACTGAGCCACACTCCAGCCCCAGCTCTCTTGGATTTCGGTCAACAGCAGCTGCTGCTGTTGGTATCTCCCCTCCCTGTACTTAGGAAGCACTGGCAGGTCTCAGAAGTTAGAAGCAGCTGTCAAACCGGATTGTGAGATGGTCTCAAGTGACGACAAGTTGAGCCGAGTGGCAGTGCCACCCCAATATTGGCTGCCAGGTGCTGCACTCCCAGGCCCAGCAGGGGCACTGCTCTGAGAGATGCCCCCGCCCCACCCCAGTCCAGCCTGACTCAGCCTTGGTCTTCCTGGAGTGCCCATGCCATGTGTTGGTGAATGACTGACTCAGCACCGTACAGTCTTCTCCAGGAGATCCCAGGCAGTGTGTGGTGGGTCACTGCAAGCAGAACCTCTCTACTTCGCATCCCTTCACCACCGGCACCACCACCCTCTCCTAACACACACAAGGAGGGCTCCTTGGAATACAAGTCCTAATCCTGGAAAGACGACCCCCCTCCAACCAACCCAACCCTGACTCTGTTGCTGGTGGGGCCTCACACAGCTCCAAGATGCCAGTACCCAGGCTGGCGGCCCATGCTTACCCCTTGACCACCACCACTACCAGACTCCTGAAGGTGCAGCTTCTCATCAAAAAGGGGCACCCACTCTCTTCTGAATCATTCACTCGAACAGCCAGACTCTCCTGCTTCCCCGGACCCGGAGGATCCCCTTCATCAATGCCTACCCCACCTCTAGACCGCCAGAGCCCGTACTCCAATTATCAAGTGTTAAGTTGTCAGCGCTGAGGCGGACCCTTCAGGTTTCCCCTCAGGCCCGTCACAGGTGGTGGCACAGCAGGCGTCTCTTAGCCCACCAGAAACTGGCAGGGCTTCTCCCCTAAAAGCGCCACCGTCTTCCCCTCTTGCTAGTCCTTCTGTGTCATCCAAGAGTTCCCATTTGAGTGTTCCTCTCCCACCCATCCAGATAATGGGGGGGTTTCTGAATTGAACCCATATATTTTCCCCAATTATCCGAAGTGACCGCCTCCACCAAACAGGCACTTCCTCCATCCGCCCGGTGCAGGAAGAGGAGGTTTTTCTTCTCTAAAAGAAACATCTGCGGGACTGCACCCCAAGCCTTCCCACCGGTGACACGACCCTACAGACCCCTCGCAGGGCTCCCGAGGCACCTGCTCGTGCCCACCCCACATGCGCGCCCCCTGAAACCTAGCTGGGCAGACCCTGGTCTCCATCACCCAGGCCTGCTCCCGCTACGGACGCCCTGGCTCAGCCCGTGCAGATGCCCCGATTTCCCCGGGAAGCGACCACCATGAGCTCTCCCTCTCCTAGCCTCGACCCCAAACTGGCGCTGGGCCCTGGGGTGGCCTCGCCTGCGGCCCGCGAGGCTCCGTCTCCTCCCGTGCTCCCTCGGGTTGCGCCCGCGTCCCCCACCAGGCATCCCCGGCTCCCCGTCGCTCGGGCCGGCTCAGTGGGGGCCTCACCCGGGCGTTCCCCGGCTCGCTCGGCCCCTCGG